GAATGCTAAAATCATCCTGTCTGAAGTTTTTTCAAGTCTCCTGAACACTTGCTCTTGTGATTCCAGAACCTTTTGATTTTCATTTTGTGTAAAAGAATCAGTTACCATGTTGACACATTAAAACTTTATACTTTGGTCAGTTCTTAAAACCTTGCAGAAGCATGCTGGTGGACCTGGCCATCCCACCTCGGCCCCCTCTCTGCTCTTTTTGTTCTTTGTTAGGCCCTTTTAGGACAGCAGTTAAGAAGAGTGTGGCAACAACCAGAGTGCTTGCTACAGGGGTGTAGGGCAAAATAAAGGTGATGTGTATGTGTTTATGTCTGTGTCTGTGTGTGCTCTTTCCTTACATGGATGTCTTCCTAGACTCACTCTATAGATTATCCTAAATACCAGGCAGTCCTATTTATTTTTCCTATCTTGTGATATTCTTAGAGTCTTTGCCATTTCCCCTGAGCAAGCCTTTGGTTAGGCCCAGTGGGCACTGCACTCAGAGGTGCTCAGCCTGCACTTTCAGTTGCTTCCTTCACTACCCTCTGGAGCACTGCCTGCCCCTCTGTAACAGCTGCTGACCTGGCCCGGTGTCGAGTGTCAGTAGGCCGGCTGGATCTGGAAGGAGAGCAGTGATCACGTCAGCTGTCTCCCTCAGGGGATCAGCCTGGTCTAAATTGAACTCTAATGTGTCCTTCTGAGACCAGCCTCCTTGAATGCCTAGAAGAACTATTAAACCAGCTAATATTTTTATTCTTATCTCCTTAGCCTTCTTACTCACCTTCTGGAAAGAAGGGCTAAAAACATCTAGGCTTTATTTTCTCAGTGATCTGGCTTTACAGACTTGCAGTATTTTGTATCTGAAAACAGACTGGTCAGATCTGGTTTCTGTTACTGGTGTTAGTGTTCCTTGGGAAACACACCAGGTTGGGTTAGTGAATTCTATGTAGAAATGGTTGTAGTGGATTCAAAAACCCATATTCAGTCAGCACCCTTTCCTAGAAGCCCTTCATATGGTAGGTGAGATTTGGGGCCTGTGGGTGTCAGGGATGCCTGTCTCTGGATGGAAAATGTAAATTTGTTACCAGTCTCATTGGCACTGGAGGCAGGTGCACCTGGGGATGGACTCAGCTCAGTCACAGAAGAGTTCCTTTTTTAAGACAGATGCTGGGTACACTCAGCAATTACATTTGTTCTTTCTCTTGCTTCCTGCAGCTACTAAATGCTGGGAATTATCAATAAGAAGGAGTAAAAGAAGGTGTATTTGATGATATTTATAGAAGTTTTAAAACAAACATAATAATACCATATACTGTTTATGATTTGCATGGAATGTATAAATAAAAACAAGCATGGGACTGATAAGCCCTTAATTCAGGAGAGGAGCTGCTTTGAGGAAGGAAGGAACATGATCCTGAGAATCCACAGGGGCTCCTATCCCATCTGTAGTGTGCTATTCCTTAAGCTGTTTGGTAAGAAAATAGCTATCCATTATGTTATTCTCTACACTTTGTTACATGCCTAAAATATTAAATAATAAGATCAGTAGGCTTTTCCAGTGTGAAGCGCAATTCCTGCCTTCTCTTACTCTTCTTCCAGCCCGGTGTATTAAAAGCCGTAAATGGCCTATTAGTATTGTGTCAGAAGCAAATC